AGACAGAGATCACGAGTAGGCAGAGAGGCAGGCAGAGAGAGAGGAGGAAGCAGGCTCCCTGCTGAGCAGAGAGCCTGATGCGGGGCTCGATCCCAGGACCCTGGGATCATGACCTGAGCTGAAGGCAGAGGCTTTAACCCATTGAGCCACCCAGGTGCCCCAAGGCAATTAATTTTAAATGAGGCCATATGGGTGGGGCCCTAATTCAGTAGGACTGGTGTCCTTATAAGAAGAAGAAGAGACAGGTCACCTGCGTGGCTCAGTTGGTTAAATGCCTGCCTCTGGCTCAGGTCATAATCCTAGGGTCCTGGAATTGAGTCCCTTGTTGGAATTTCCCACTCATAGGGGACTCTACTTTTCCCTCTGTCCCTCCTCTATGTTTGCACACATGCTCTCTCTCTCTCTCTCTCTCTCTCAAATAGATAAATAAAAATCTAAAAAAAAGAAGAAAAAGAGGAAGAGACGCCAGGGGTATGTCCACACAGAGAGAAGGTCCTGTGAGGACAGAGTGAGAAGCCAGGACAGAGGCTTAAAGCAAACCTATCAATAATTTGATCTTGGACTTCTAGCATCAAGGACTGTGAGAAAATAAATTTGTGTTGTTTAAGCCATCCAGTCTGTGGTATTTTATTATTGCAGCCCTAGGCGACTACTATACAGGAGGGGCGGGGTGCAGAGTGCCCCCGTCTTCCTGCTCCCAGGAAGCAGCTCTGCTCCAAGGGCTGTCGCTGTCTCCAGGAAGGCACAGCAGATGGCAGTGCTGTCCTGTGGGTTTGCCCGCTGCTGGCCTGTCAGGCTGTGCCTCTGGCTTCCAGAACTGAAGGACGGGAGATGTAAACTTCAAGGTCCAGGCTTTTTTACTGGAAACCAAAACACCTTTGTACTAAAGCATATCTACCGATCTTACCTATTTATCTCTCATCTCTCTACCTATCTGTGGACCTGGGCTTCACAAAAGAAAATGAGATCCTGTTTGAAAGGAGAAATAAGGAAACAAATTCTCAGGCATTTGGTGTGCCTACGGTCTAACTCCCTCTAGCTCACTGATGACGGATGGCTATTTCATGCAGTGAAGTGGCAGAGTTTGCTTCTGGAACCTAAACCCTTTCCATAGTTTCCTTGGAGGCTTCTGGTCCTACAGCTCCCCGGCTCCCCTGGCGACTAAGACCTCAACATCAAAATGGAACACGTGGCTGGTCAGCTCTGTACTGACGTCAAGAATACCTTAGTTTTCCAGTTTCCAAAATTGGGTCCTTATCTCTTACTCTACTGCCTGTTTTCAGCAAAGTTATAGAACTAAAACTGTCCTCAGGCTCTTAGGAGTGAAAACTTGTCCAATTTGGCAAGCAGGTGGCTAGCACGGCCTCCTGACAGTCTGCTGCTAACTGAATGTTGCGTTGCAGATCCACAGCAGGTAAGAATGGACACGTCCCGAGCCCCCTTCTCTGTTTACACATACAATAAACTTCTCCCATACTTCAGGCCTTACTTTCTGAGAGCATTTATTCTTTTTTGCCAAGCCAGAATGCTTTTAAGAGATCAAAAGATTTTTCTCTAGAATATGATTACCAAAAATTAGACAGAAATTTACAACCTGAGGATTTAGGCAGTGTCTACAGGTGAGCATACAGACAAATAATGGCAGCAAAAATATAAGGGAACTATCAATCCAAAACATCATGTTCAACGAATACTCACAATTTACTCCTGTGTGTAAAGGACTACAGTAAATGAACTAGCCAGATACAGAACTGGCCCAAATGAGCATCTCCTCTGGGCTTGTTAGGGGTCCCACAAATATCTAAGGTAAGGATCAGTCTTTTTGGGTATACAAATAGACAAGTAGTTCATGTAAACCACTGAGCAAAAAGACTAAATTGAAAAACTTGTTTATGAGGATTCTACTTGGGACTTGAATTAATAAAGGCAGGTAAGGGGCCATGGTTAAAATACACATAACGATATAAGCACTATTTTTTGGAGTTTTTTGGAAAATAGTTTATTAGATGCTTGAAATAGAAACCTAACCTTCCAAAAGATGTTTGTGACTTCATATCCTCTTGGATTTACATTGCTTTGGCCAAAACTTGATAGAGGTTGGAATTCCCTAAACTGAGTTCCTCAGCCTTCTAATTCTCTGGAATGTTAGGATTTCTTACGAAGAAGTGTTCTGTGTTCAAATGTCAGGATATTAACTATACTTCTGATTTCTGTAACTTAATGCTTTCACATCTACAAAATGACCACTGGTTATTCCCAAGTCAACCCTGGCTTGCTTAAAACATCTGGAGAATTTAGGTGCCCCCAGACCATCTCCTCGCATAGTCACAGTGAACAAGGGTTCCAACTTAGCTAGCCAACCCTAAACCTGTTTATGCTGCCTTGCCTAGACCTTTCTGAGGAAATCACAATAAAGGTGCTTGGCCAACAGTTCTGCCCTCTCTCTCTGCTTCATGACCCTTCCCAATGGCCTTGTATGGTGTGCTGTGTTCTTCCTGGGGAACTGTGAGCATTATAAAACTATAGAAATCTTTCTAGCTTCTTGCTTTGATTTGCATCTGGCCTCACCCAAGTAGTATGGTTAAAACAACATTGTAGATTAGGAAAAATCAAACATACTTTACCACAAAGCCCTTGGAGTTGTTAATATGTAAATGCGCATCCTACATTTTTAGTATCAAACTTACTTGGCTTTGGAATCTTTCTGAGCAGTATGTCTTATGGAACTGGCATTTCTGGGATCCCCTTTGGGAGGTACTCTTCTGGAGAGATACTGATTATCTGTCCAGGAGGTTTTGTGTGTCAGTATTTTCTGAAGATGAAAATGCACTGATATCATTGTAAAATGAAATCAAATATTATAGTTTAAGGAAAGCTCAATTCCCATATGAAATTTGGACTTGCCCTTCACCAAGGAGTTGGCACAAAGACACAAAATGATAATATTTGAATGAACTCACATCGGTTGTGGAGTCCATATATTTTAAAATGCATACATCTATTACCCTCCCTAATCTTTGAATAAGGCTTTTGTGCATAAGACAAATGCTTGTGAGATATCTTCTCATGTGCATTCATTAGGCATCTCAGTCTCGACCTGTCTAAACAGAACTAGTTGTCACATCCCCATTCTACTTTCCTCAAATGACATTTCCATTTATCCATTCATTCTTACCAGAAACCCAGGAATCTGTCAGTCCTTCTCTTACATAGTATGCATCCATCACCAAGGAACTACTTCCTTTTAGCATGTTTCTTACCAGATCTAGCTGCTCCATCTCTAATACAGAGATGTCCAGACCTTCATCATCTCATATCTCTCATTTTCATGATGTCCTAACTAGACTCCCTTTCCCTCATCTTGTCCCTCATCAAAGACTTTCTTTCATGTTGATACCAATGTGATTTTTCTAAAGCACATTCCTGATTATGTTATTCTTTCTTCATAAACTACCTGCCAGTTGATTTGCTGTCATGCTATGCAAAATGAAGTCCAAAGTCCTTACTCTGGCATGACCGTTTGTCTACTGACTCCCTCGTGCTCTCTTTTCCAATCTTCTCTGGAAATACAGATACAACTTAGTCATATTAATCTGGCAGCTCTGCCCCTAACATGGCAGGCTGTGATGTGTCGTGGTACTTTATCATCTTTTGCCTCAGATCACCTTACTCTTATCAGTGACCCAACAATATCTATTCATCTTTGAAGATCACACTCAAGAGTGTCTTTCTCAATGAAACCATTCCTGGTTCTTGTCTCATCTCTCCACAATATACACTCTACAGAGTTTTGTTATACTTACATGTTCACATGTTTGTTTTTTCCTACTAGATGGTAAATTCCTAGAGGTAAAAGCTTGTGTATTACTAATCTTAAAATTTCCAAAGCCTGACATAACACTTGACATATTGAAGAGTGTTACACAAATGCTGTTTTAGTGACAGGACCATCATTTCTTTTAACACACAAAATAACAAACTGTGTGTTGTGTATTCCCGATTTTACGTCATGTATTACTATGATTGAAAAAGTACCTCCTCTAAATTAATCACCTGATACTGCTTCCTCCTTTCTAGTATGATTGGAAAGTGAAGAAGAAACACATATTTCTCTTTGGAATTTTTCCTCAAATTTTCCTTTGCAGAGCAATAGATCTCATCCTTTGTCGTGAAATCCTAATCATTATGAATATTTTTGGAAACCAGAAAAAAGAAGAAAGGATGCCCAGCTTTAATTTTTTCCTCAGAGTAAATATAGCTGCCTAGGCAACTATCCATGATAGTACCATGAGCACAGAAGTATTTTTCCAGTCCTCCCATTTCAGATCCTTAGCGGGGCCAGGAAGGAGTGAAACCTTCCATATGCCATGTTTAGAAGATTCAAACACAAGGGAACCACTTGGAGGCTTGGAAGAGGGTATCAGCATCTAAACTCTGGATTAACCAATAGGCCTCAATGCTGAGACTCTGACAGAGAGTTACAGCTATTTGCATCAAATTGTAGGAACAAAAAGGAAATATGAACATTTGGTTTCCTGAAAACACATTTCTTGAATTAATCTGAGGTCAGTTCTTGAAAATTTTAGGAACTATTCCAAATTGTTGATTGCTGAGAATTTTAGTCCTGGGTGAAGCTGATTAGGTATCAATAATCAATAAGGGTTTATAAAAAGAAAGCAGTCAAATTAACCACACTTAGAAACCATTTCCATCTTCAATTTCCTCTTTATTCTCTACTAGAAGTGTTATAAGAGAAACACTTCTTTAAAAAATACCTTTAATGAAATGAAAGTAACATGTTTTCAAAATGGGTGCTTCTCCATTTTTTCAATATGCTGGATCTTTTATGAAAACACTTTAGTCCGATGGATACAAAAGGCTTATTCCCTGTTCCAAAGATGTGTTGGAGGATATTGTCTGAGAAGTAGGAAGGCTAGGTAGGAGGCAGTAAAGGAGATGCTTTGAACTTGAAAGAAACAGAATAGGGTTTTAATACTTACAGCTGTCCTCTTCTTCAGTTATACATTTCACAACATAACAGGCGTAGATGAACCCTGCCAGCTGAAACAAAACAAAGATGCTTTAGACAGGAGGCAAAGGCAGCGGGACTGGACCTCCCTGGGGGAGTGGCTTTCCAAAGGCAGGCAGTTGGTGACTAGCTAGATACAGTGCTCCAAAATGATGGTCCCTCATACTGAATCTTGACTCCATTGTGGATTCTTGATACAAGTGATGTCTATCTTTCTTGTAAATCTGTACATCGCTCCTTTTTCTCTGAGCTGCGTTTATGTGTAAGATTTGTTAACTGCCAGGCAATCTAAAACACGTGATTTTAGGTACAGGAGAAAAAGTTATGGTCACTTATTAATAAGATAACATTTGCACTTGTGCCAATCAACTTCTAATTAACTTTCGTTAGCCAAGAGCCTTAGATCCTAAAATTGGACTCTCACCGACTATTAGAAAAATGTTTTGAGGGATAAATATTAAGATTTTGTGGTATGCTGCACGGATGCTTTGTAAGTAAGAAAAGCCCTTATTTAGACCTGTCCCAGGAACCAGAGCATATGAAACACGATTAGGATGACATGTTACAGAGAAGCAATGGGGTGGATACCTGTAGCTAAGACCTGTCAGGATGCATTGAATTTGGGATGGCACACATCACATCATCCTTTCTGAAACATTCTGCACAAAGGTCCCTATGGTCGGAAAAGTCCTAGCTCACTGAAATTATTAAGGAGCACAGCGAAGTTCCTTGATATCTAGCTTCTCACATGGAGTGGTTTTGTATTTCCTCATATCATTGTAATATTTATTTAGTGAAATTGTGAGTGCTGGTGAAAATATGAAAACTTATATAATTTCCAGATAGTGGCATTTTTCCCAAAATATTCTTGCTTGGGGGAATCCTTAAAGGATGGAACAGTGATGAAGATTATTCTCAATGACATTTCAGGAAGGCATTGATCTGGATGAGAACTGACCATATATGTCAATAGTTGGGACACTATTTGGCCTGGGGAAGGGAACATCAGGAAATCCTGCAGTCTTCCAGCAGGAAGCTAAGGTAGGGCAAGAAGGAGATGCTGTGAGAAGCCCAATGAAGTTGTTTTTCATTAGCTGACAGATCTCTCTGGAAGATGTGAGTGGAACACTTTAAGCAAGAGGGTACGCTGATAGGTATTTAATGAGCGTAGTATTGTCTGGAGACAAAGAGGGGTCCGGTTAAAAGAGAAACTTCAGAAAATCCCTAATATTGGATTTGAGGGAGAAAAGCATATTCTGGCAGATTCTAACTCTCTTCCAAAGAGAACCAGCTTGGGATAAAACAGTGGTGACCCTGCTTAGGGGAGGAATGGATGAGGAAGAAGACCCCTGCAAAATAATTTTCAAGGGTTTTTGTTTCTACATCCTGGTTGAGTGGGAATGTGAACTCCTGTCCTTTTTCACCCACTGAATGTAGTTTCTGAAGCAGTACACATAATGGAGAGCTACGTAAGAAACCACTAATATATTAAGTTAGTTTTCTTAAAAAACAAACAAACAAACAAAAATATCTTAGAAAAATCATCAAATCAGCATTTTTCTCTTTAAATTATATGTTGCTATGGGCAATAAAAAAGTGGTGGTAAGAACTCTTTCCTTATAGGATAGAATCATCAGGATTGTTGTTTTTACAGGCTTATGTTTAGAGGACAAGGTGGAATTAGAGGTTTGGCTTCAGCTAAGGTTTTTTTTGATCAAACAAAATGACATAGTAATTTGAAATTTTCATAGGTACTGGAAAAATAGGCAATGCTAACACTTCTTAATCTTTGATCCACCAGGATCCATGAAAATGCTCTAATTATGGAGTGAGTTGGTCCGTGGGTACTCTGTCACTAGGGTTTGCATCTGACTGTGGCTAGTTAAAGAGGCTGTGGCTTTGGTTAAATCCCCTGGGTACTGCCTTTTCAGCTCCTTTCCTTCCTCCGTTGGAAGTCCTGACCATCCTTGGCTAAATGCTTTCCATTTATCAATAATTTATCTCTTCTTTTCAGTTTTAAATACTTACTACTTGAATAATCTATGAAGCAACCTTTTCCCAGTCACAAACTTTTCTTTTGATTTTCACTCATCACTTCATTACTTCTAAATGAAAGTCTAGGTAGAGAGCCTTGATAAATTCTGAGATTCAGGGCCAATAAATGTAAACTTCTCATTAAAGTGTCACTAGATCCTGGATTATTAAGTGTACTAGTTTCCCAGAATGCAGCCAGGCACTGTATTCTGCTTACCAGTGATCTTTTAATTGTGTTCGGTTGCATTCTTTAACTATCAGGGGAGCTCCTTTGATATAAAAGTAAATCCTGCTGCATTTCATTACAAAAGCTTGCTGATTAAGAGAACTTTAGCTTTTAAATTGGTCACCTCTAAATACAAATGGAAATTAGTTTCCCCCCAATTAATCAAGACTCATAAGCCTTTGTTATCTTACATGTTTCCTATACCACAGAAATTTATAATTTAATTTTTACTCCATAGCAATTTATAAAGTTTACCTACAGAAAGAGGCTTCAAATCATTTGTAACAACTCTGAATGCTTCTTATAATGTGTAACTCCTATAATTGCTACGTGGGCTGCAAAGACAAACTAAGCCAGAGTTTCTCAACCTTGGCACCATTGACATCTGGGTTGGGTAATACTTTCTTGTAGGGTTTGTTGTGAATTATAGGATGCTTAAGCAGTAACAGCCTACAATCAATCCGGTTGACAACTGAGACAATCTCAAATGTCTGCAGATATTGCCACATGTCCCTTAAAGGACGAAATTTCCCCAAGTTAGAGCCACTGTTTTAGATGCAGTCCTATCTTCAAGGAATGTGCAATTCTGTGGCTGGTATATGCATATAATTATAATGTGAGGTAGATTAAGGTAAGTGTTATGAGGAAGGGAGACGACTGAATGCATACTTAGTGACAAACAGTAAACTGCATATTTTCATGCATTAGCTCACTAATTCCCACAACCACCATTGGAAGAATGTTATATGTATTTTTGTGGGGGAGAGATGATGGATCTTGCTTTTCTGGAGTATGTTCATCAGGTGGGAGAGGTGTGGGTTGTGTTCAGAGAAAAGCCTGTAGTTGGATCTGAGAATTTGGGGATCCCATCCTAGAGCAATGGAAATAGAAGCTGGGAAGGCAGATTAGGGCTATGATTGGAAGGCCTTGGGTATGTATTAAATTGCAAATCTAACTATGTCATTTTCTACACAATACACTTAAGAAGCACCTCATCTTCATGGATAAAGAAGATGTGATATATATATATATATATATACACACACACACACATACATACATACATATACACAAACATACATACATGTCACACATGTAAGGGAGAATTACTGAGCCATCAAGAAGAATGAAATCTTGCCATTTGCAATAATGTGGATGGAACTAGAGGGTATTATGCTAACTGAAATAAGTTAATCACAGAAAGACAAACAACATATGATTTCACTCAAATGTGGAATTAAGAAACAGAACAGATGAACATAGGAGAAGGGAAGGAAAAAATAAAAGAAGATGAAAACAGAGAGGGGTGCAAATCATAAGAGACTCTTAACTCTAGGAAACAAACTGAGGGTTGCTGGAGGGGAGGGGGGTGGGGGGATGGGGTAACTGGGTGGTGGGTACTAAGCGGGGCACTTGATGAAATGGGCACTGGGTGTTCTATGCAACTGATGAATAGCTGAACTCTACCCTTGAAACTAATAATACAGTATATATTAACTAAATTGAATTTAAATAAAAAAAATTTTAAAACCTCATGCACTTCAAAAAGATTAAAAGAGTATGCTTAGCCTTAAAAAAAGAGAAAGAAGCACCTCATCTTCTACTCATAAAGTAGAAAAATTTTCATGGAATACAAATCCTTCCTAATGTGATTCTTAGCTACCTCCTAGCCTCATTTCCCACTACTCCTAGTCTTGGACTTGGTGCGAATAGTAAGTAAGCTGTTGGTAGTCTGCCAATCTACATGAGGTGGTTTCATTCTATTCTTTAATTCATTAACCCACTCTGCCAACAAAGCATATGCATGTCCTATACCTCCCTGCCATCCCTACTCACACTGGCACCTCTGAGTAACTCTAACTTATCCTTTAAGACTGAATTAAAGTATGGTGTCCCCCAAGAACAGGCAATCCATTCCCAGGATAGGTTGCAGGGTTGGCATTTTGGAAACAAGAGCTTGAGAAATGGGAGAGCTTTGAGAGGGAATAATGAGGGGAAAGGCGAGGATGTCTTTCAAGCAGAACCCAGGAAAACTCTGGAAGATGTGGATTATGCTTAGGGAGGAGTAAGCAGCCTGGTTTAGAGGACTTTGGGCGATGGGAAGACAATAATGGTGCACAAGTTAGAGAAGAGTAATCCATGTTGTCAAAGCAGATCCAAGTACATGGAATTAAAATAAAATTGTTTTATTTTCTTAGTTTAAAGATAACTAGAGTAATGATGAAAGATACAACTGGTGTTATATTAAGCAAACATATAATTGTCCATTTATTTTTAAAAAATGAAATATTCCAGTTGTTTTAGTCTTTGGCATTCAAAGCAGAGCTAAGCCTAAATCTTTTTTTTTTTAAATTCATCTTTTCACCTTGATACATCTAATATGATTTGTTCATTTCTAATTCACCTGATAGGGAATTCATATCATCTTGATATCATTACTTGCTGAAAGGAAATCATATTTTCTCTCTATAACTAATCAGATTAAAATTCTTTTTTGTATCTGCAAACCAAATTATGATTGCATGTCCCAGAAACTCACTTAGAAGCTAATAGATAAGAGGAAACCAAAGCCTTTTGGTAAGTATGTTAAAAGATTCAATTGTAGTAATTGAAAATGTAACAACCTTAGTGTTTAATATACTATCTCCTGGATTTCTCTTTCCAGGAAGTTGGAGTACACATAGTTGTCCCTAGCTTTCCCAATAACTACAACTGAAAAAAACAGGAAATTTTATGTATAATGAACATAGGAAGATTCTGAAAAGTGGAAAG